CTGAGGGCCCCCGTTGCCCCCGGACCGTGGGGCCCGGAAGTCCTTGGCCGAGGGGCCAGGAGGGGCTGGAGAGACTCCGGACTGGGAGGCCCGGACTCCGGGACCCTGACGAGGGGTGTGGGGATCCTGGGAGATCCCCAAAGGCGGGGTCGGGGGAGCACCAGGCCCCTCTCTGAGGAGCTGGGGAGAGGCCTCTAAGGGAAGGGGGGGTGGTGAAAGGTGAGGAAAGCCTGGATACACGCCCAGGAAGAGACCCTCAGAGACTTGAGTGGGGCGGACAGAGGTGGGGGAGCAAGAGCAGAGGGGGCTGTGCCGAGAAAGGGAGGGCCCTAGCCACACCGGAGGGGGGTGTTGGACACCTGGGGCATGAAGTCCCGGGGAAAGAAGCAGGTGCTTTTCCTAAGGCGATGTGACAGTCTGGGAAGTGGGATTAGGAACAAGGAAGAAAGCACAGGGAGAGCCGAGGAGGCCCGGACCTTCTCATAGATGGGGGGGAGGGGGGACACCTGGTGCCTCTTTGGCTAAGAGTGACAGGGGTCTGTACTTGTTGGGGAGTAAGATATTTTTGTGCTTCCTGATCTATAGGCCGAAACAGGGTGATCTAATATGCCAGGGAATGGGGAAACCCATGTTTTTGAGGGCTTTAGAGAAGATAATTGAAGGGGAGAAGCTTTAAGTATCCCTCCTTTTTGAAATCACAGGGGAAGTGACTAGGTGTCTCTTAATTAAGGGGCAGGAGATAGGTGGGCAGAATTTTAGGGACACCGGGAGACTGACTCCCCCATCTTAAGACGTGCCAGACTGTCCAGGGAAGCCCTGAATTCTCCCAAACCGTGAGATACCTCACCGTTACCTACCTGACAGGCCTTGATTGGTGTCAATTTAGGTGAACCAAGAAATGGGGTTTCCTCTTGAGAGGGAGAATTTGGGAAAGGAATTGATAGTCACAGAGGGATTCTTTCCTCCTCCCTTGCCTCTGCTGATGGTTTCCAAAGTGCTTTTAGAGAAGAGTTCATTAAAAATGAGCTTTCTCCCCTAATTTGTCACCCTTTTTTCAGTTTTAATGTCTACTGATTTGCTGACCTTTTCAATAGTTGTTAGCCAATTACTCATTTTTTCCCCCCAACAAACATACTGAATTGCTAACTTGTGTTCAAGTTAGTTTGGGTCTGTATCCATCTGATCCTAAAGTGAAGTCCTCTAGACTGTAGTAGAATGATACTTCCAATACTTTTTTTTTTCCCTTTGCTGTCCCAAACACCTACATTGTCTCCAGTTCTCAACTTCATTCACTATTTCCTTCACTGTGGTCCTCTGTAGCCTTGTTAGTTTCATTACATCTGGTCACATTCCAGATGGCTTAATACATGAGGAGTGAAGGAAAAAAAGGAGTTTTGCTCAATAATAAAATTTTAACTTGGAAATTTCTTAATAGGATGCATAGTCTACAAAAATTACAGTGGAATAAAAGACATTTGGGGTTAGAAAATTTCAGGACATCTATTATTTTCCTTCTCACCAATTCTGATATGTTTGCAATCATTTGACGCTCATGTTTACATCTTGTAATGTTTTAAACATTAGATTTCTGGGCCTAATCTAGAGTAAGTCAGATGTCATTTGCTAGTTTTCCAATCATTTATGTGAGCAGTCATGTGCTTACTTTCAAGGTGTCTTTTTTGTCTTTGAAAAAAGCTACAAAGTTATTTTGATATATATTACCCTCTATATGTGTTCTTGTAGAATTACAGAGGTTGTGTGATTCCACAAGGAATACTCCAAGGCCTATTCCATGAAATACCCAAAGGATCAACTCACTCATCTTGCCTCAGGGGTTTTTGTTGCTATAAACAAGAGTCCCTTTTCAGTTTACAAGTCAGTTCAAAGAGATAATCTTGCATTTAGCCAGTATAGTCTGTAGAGCTGGTTTCTGGTTTCCTGCTAGGAAAATGGTATTTAGAGTAATAAAAGATACTCGACCCAAACTTGCTTCTCTTCAGAAAGTAAGGATTACTATGTTGAATCAGACCTGTATATCTGACACAAAGAAATATATTGTGTATGATTATAATTATCTTCACTGATAAATTGAGAAGGTTAGAGAACAAGCCAGAAATTCTGCCTGGGTTCCAAGGAGTCGGACGGGAAAAGAGTAAAATAGGAGTTCCTGTTGAAAGCTTTAAACTGATAGTTGACCACTTATTCAAAATGTAGTAAGTACTGTGAGTAGAAGGTTGCAGTACAAGTATCCTTCTAACCACTAATTTAACTGGCTATTCTTAAAAAGTTAAATCATCTTTTGGAAGTAATTTCCTTAAGTTTGTTATTTGCTAAAAAAGTATTACTTTTTAAAATTAAATATGTATTATAGTAGTAGAGTAGTGCTTGACAGTAGACAAGTACCAAACAAAATGTTGACTGCAGGTAATTTACCCTCCATTTTTATGGCTCAGGCTTTGAAGATACCTGTTGGTTCAGTTATTCTAGGATTTATTGGTGATTGTCTGCTTTGTCATGTCCATTTTTTACTTTTTCTACCTTGGGAAACCTAATTGTTTTGGTTTTGGGGGCAGCCAGCCTTACCTGTCCATTGATTCTAGTGTTTGTTTTTTTCTTTCTAGTTTTAAACCTTTAATTTATATAAGTCCATATTATGCACTTTGATAGCTTGTAATTATTTTTCTCATAGTGAGTGCCACTCTCATGCATCTTTTTCCCTTTTGTAGCATTTTACAAGCCGATACTGTCCCTTTATATTTCCAAGGAACGTAACTCTGTGTCCAGCATGGAGTAGAGACTGGTAAACACTTGTTGAACTGATCATGATTATGAACCAGAAAACAAGGCAGCTAGCATAGCTGCCCAATCAAATTTATATCTTTTAACTTAGAGAAGTATAAACTCCTAGAAGTCTTTTAGGATAGGGTGAGTCAGTCATTGCATAAAAATTGGTTACATACCTGGTACCAGTTTTGTAGATATCTGGAAATTGCTTATCACACTTCCATGTCCTGGGTGCTAATGTAGACCCAGGAAAGCTGTTGAGAGAGAAAAGCAATCGTTGTCCTCCCAGGAGGTAGCCTGGTGGGGACAGACTGACACAGTGGAATAATGGTTCTGGCAGGGGTGCTGCAAGCATGAAGGAGCAAGAACACTAAGCTCAAATTCCATCAAGAAAGTCACAAAAGAAAGTGATGTTTTAAGTAAGTCACAAAAGTTTAGCAGTGACAAGCTAAAGGAAAAGGAAAAGAATTCCAGTTAAAAGAAACAATTGTGACCGGCCAGGTGAGAAATATGGCATGTGTGAGAAATGGAATAAATCAGTGTCAGGAGCCTACAATGTGAAATGAAGTTAACAGGGTGGGTGAGGGGCAGATTTGGAAAATTTTGTAAGCCTTGATAAAATGTTACTCTTTACATGTTGTAAAGAGAATCCACTGTAGGATTTTTAGGTGGGGAAGTGGCCTTTAGTAAAACACTTTGCAGAGAAGGGATTGGAGAACAAGACCAAAGATTAGGCTATGGATGAGAAACAGCTGGGAAAATCTAGGTGGTGGTGTGTGTGGCTCAGAATATGATGGTGGCAGCACAGATGGAGATGGGGGGTTGTTTTCAAGGGAGATGTAACTAGTGGGATGGATAGGATTTGGTGGTTGACTGGATTTAGAAAGAGAAGGGAGTAGTCAAAAATAACTCCCGAGTTTCTGGGTTGAAAAAATAGGGAGGTACCATTTACTGAGGTAGAAAGTAGGAGTAGGTTTGAGAGGGATCATAAACTCAGTTTAAGGTGCCCACAAGATATTTTAAGAGACTTTTGGAGATAGAAAGTGTAAAGTTCAGGAAAGAAGTTTGAATGTAAGCATCAAAAAACAAATTAGACATGAATTATAACTAGGTCAAACACATGCAAATCAGTTGAACCAATACTTGTCAGGGCCTATGATGGGCAGGATTATAGGAGATAAAAGTTTTTTAGGACCCTCCCTGGGGTTCAAGTGTGGCACTGCAAGCTGGCTGCAGTCGCTTCGGTGCTGGTTCAGTCCCCGCCTCAGAGGTGACCCACGTGGTGCAGTAGAGCTCTCTTGTCTCACCCGCTGCTCCCCTCATCAGTATACTTGGTCGATCTGCCTATTCTGCTCCCCCCACTCTGTCTCTGGTGAAGCATCTCACCCCCCCAGTACCTCTGGCCTGTACTCTGATTTTGTATGCATAAATAAATAAATATTAAAAAAAAGTTTTTTAGGTAATCAGCACCTGACCTCACAGATAATAATGCAGTGATGGAGATGGTTCCCATTGCAATTAACTGCAGGGCACAGTGCAGTAAACACTGGCAGGGAGCTGCAAATCAAGTACTGGGGGACAACAGAAAAGGTGATTTGTGAGTGGCTTCCTAGAGGGGTGAGCTTTGAACTATGCCTTGAAATGAAAGGGCCCTCCCTGGTGGCGTAGGGGTTACATTTCAGGGCACTCACCCCTAAGGCCTGAGTTTGATCCCTGGCCAGGGCGTGACCCATAAGGCACAGCAGACCTTTCCTGTCTCACCACAGCTCCCCTCAGCAGTGTTTATCGGTAGATCTGCCTGTTCTGCTCTCCACTCTGCCTCTTATGAATCCTCTCACTTCTTCCCCACCTGCAGCACCTTTGGCTTACATCCCCGTTTTTCTATGGCAAAAAAAAAAAAAAAAAAAAAAGGCTTCCCCAGGAGGCATCTAAATCAGAGTCTTACCTTTAGCATGCAATCTTGTACTTGAAGATGCACAGACACTCTGACCCATATCCACTGTCGTATATATTTCCTTGAAATGGTTCCCATATGCACCAAGACACATTTCCA